TCGTAGGACACTCATAATATTTTGGTGACAGTATATAATCGTGGGCCTTCATAGACACAGTGGTTCTTCGACTGTAACGTTCGACCTGACGTTTCTGAAATGTCGGGCAGGTGTCGCTGTCGTATTGAAAAGCCAACGTGCAGGTGATCTTTGAAATGAACTTCTCCCGTAGTCCGGGGAAAAAACTGAAGAGTCCAAGATGCGTTGAAGTGGTGGTAAATTTTCAAATACAGTAGTTGGACAGCAGGTTTGAATAATCAGGATTATATGCTAGAAAAGCTGAGGTGAATAAAATCGCAGAATGAGCTTGGTTATGAGCCTCGCCACTTAGCCCCCAGTTTTTTTTAATTAAACCCCCTTAGAACTGCAGAAATGCACTGCTTTATTTTTAGCGATTTCAGGTGTCAAATTTTGAAATTTAATGGTTTGTTTGCGATTTTATTTTCGCAGATGTAAGAGGATTGTCCAATCGGAAACTAGCGCAAGAAGCGTACGACTCCATAAAGCAAGCGTTGCTGGATTACTGCTTCAACGTTTACCCCAACGTGCAGGTAAGAAGAAATGACCTTTTTTTACCATCTTCGAAATTGGTTGTGCGTGTGTAGAAGATGTGAATGACTCAAGATCAAAGATCTGTGAAGCATTGATATTTTATCATATTTTTCCTCGACTTTTGCAGAATAAATTCGGCAAATTGCTGAATTTGTTGCCGGAGTTGAACATGCTGTCGACGCGAGGAGAAGAATTTTTGTATTATGAGCACATCAACGGGAATGCGCCGACTCAAACTCTGCTCATGGAAATGTTGCATGCAAAGCGGAAGTAATTTCGGGTCTGGAGATGCAGAGGGAGAAAAGAGAAGAAAAAGAACGTTTTAAACCTCGGAACACACAATTCACACACACATACACCCGAGGCAAACCGGACCGGATGAACCCGCCTTCTTTTGTATCCTATTTATTGAGAAAAAAGCCAAACCGCGTTTCGTTTTTAGACAGTTTTTATTTCTGCTGAAGAGAGAAACGAAGACGTCTTTTTCTCCAAGTTTCTCAAAGTGTCCCGCCTTTCGGCCAGTTTTCGTCAAGGAGGAGGAGAAGGAGGGTGTTCTGAAAGAGAAATCTTGGTTTTAAAATGTCCCTTCTCTTCCGCTAAAAAACTGCAAGCTACACGCTCGAAGTTTCGTGTAATGAGGTTTGTACCGCTGAAATTGCAAGTCGTATTTTCTTCTCTGCAAATTATAGTCCCTTGCTAGTCTTTGTTTCTCTCCTCGTTTATGAAAAGTTCCCCTTGATGGGTTGGACTGAATATCTCTTCTTACGTGTTCTTCCTTTAATTTGCTTGCCGGTGATTTCATTCCTTTTCGGTGCATAATTTTTCTGTGATTTTTCGTGATGGCAATTATCTGGTTGTCGCCCAAACTTCATTACACTTTCGGTGGGTCTACGTTCAGGCTACATTGGGTTAGTCATGGCTTGTTGGTTCAACATATAATGGTCTTGGATAGACTGATGCCCTCGGAACCTAGTTCATAATTTTTTTTTTTTTTAATGAGTCACGTAGTTCAAGAAATTGATTTGTCCTCCCGTTTTTGAACCCTTTTTAAGAAAAATACGGTGGCATGTAAACGAGTGATTAGTCTGTGACATGACATGAATGTCCTCGATGAGGACAGTAATAAATGAGCGGTTTTGAACAGGAAAAAAATGTAACCCCGACCCAAACTGAAAACTTTGCTGGACCTTTTGTAATACTTTTGTATTAATTGAAAATTTGAAATCAGTTTTGGAGATCAGCGTCTCAAGCCAGATACGATCCTACAGCAACGTTTTGAAAAGGGAGAGAAATATTTTGGGTTTGCAGCTCTAGGCATATCTGAACGTTGTTGTTCTTACCGATTAGGTTGAGGTCGAACGACACCTATCCGAAATGTCAGAAACTTTGCCTGAACCTTGAACTGAAACGACCTCAGAAACGCTTATTGCATAACATGCCGACGATTCTGGCCTTCTTTTCAGATTTCTGTCATTGTGACCGCGATCTGACTTCGCATTTAGAGTTTAGATACGATGTGAAATATTGTTCTGTAATAATGAAATCACCGACAACCTTTGCTGAAGTTCACGAGAAAAGAAAAATTGAATGAAGATCCAGGAATATCAAAGTATAAAATTGCCATGTGTATTTTCCTTTATCCAGATGACTGCCGAAGAAGTTGGGGGAAGACGATGAAAGACGCCTTGTTTCGCCGCTGCGACTGAACACTGCCAAGTTTTGTATGCCGCAAAGGGTTTTTTCACGATGACTTTTCGTCCACATCGCTTTAGTCCTTCTCCTCTGCTCGTCGTTTTCTGAGCGGGAGAGAAGAAAGGAAAGAAAAACTTCGAAGACTGCCGATGGAAAGAAGGTCCGCCATTTCGTTGGTGCTGCAACTTGCCCATCTTTCTTGTCCCCCGCAGACACGTCAGGTTGTCCGGTCCACGTTTGTCCGCTTGTCTTGAGATGATTATTTTTCGGCCTGAATCTCAAGTTGAACGTTTTACTTTTTTTTTGGTTCATCACCCGCGTCCCGAAGTAAGAGTGGGTTAGTTCATGTTTTTATCACGTTTTAATATTTTAGAGGAGGAAAAAAAAGCGGTAGAATTGTACTTTTTCTCAGTACATTCCCGAGGGATTCTGAGGGCATTGATTCAATATTTTTTAGAGGAGTAATGACTCGCTCTTTTTCCTGCTGGAAGCTCGACGAGCTCGCAGGCGTCTTATCTTCTGCTCCGGTCTTTTCCTGCAATGGTTAATCTTGGTGCCCGAGCCCTCAGGAACACTGTTCTTGGTCTTCGCTCTGGCTTGGCAGAAGAACCTCGCTCAAAAGTTATCCTTTCCCTTCGTTCGCTGTTTCTTCGACGACTAACATTTCATTTCGCGAGAACAGGGACCAATGTTTTAGAGGAATGCGGACTCGCGGAAAAAAAAACGGGTCCCGCCTTGCGAGGGCTTTAAAGGCTTCGATAACGCGGATTTTCTGTTCAGTTCAAGTCCTACTCTTACCAGTCTGTTGGGAAATTTGCAGTGCGCTGATATGTTTTTTTTTCGCACCAGCAGAAAAAAGTTACCAGGTATATTTGTGGATCTGCGTGGGAGGGGTTGAATGGCACCGGGATTTGCGGGCTGACGATGTCTGTTTTTTTCTGTTCTTGTTAATTTTTGGCAAACGAGCGTGAAAAAAATGTTTTTTGGGCAGGATTCGCGGAACCTGACGTGGACTCGGGAGATGTCGTTTCTCGTAGGATTTAGGTGATTACCATGATCAGTTATTTCCATTGCCCACAAATTTTGAATGCTGATGGATTCTGGAAAGATGATCGCGTTTGGTTTATTTTTTGAGCGTGGATTATTGAACCTATGTGCTTTGACTTCTTCGTCTGTTGAGGAGGAATAGGCTTCGCTCTCCCCTTTTATTTTAAATTTCCGACCGTTAACGTGGATGAAAACTTATCTACCGGGGAAAAGATTTCGGTTGATTTGATTTCGGGCGGAGGAAGATGAAAGGTCGGCAAGAACATTCCTTGTTTGGGCGACGAGACGGAAGGATGGAAAGATGGTTCTCAAGATATAAACCCGCACTGCCCGAGTTTTTTGATCTGTTGATGCTTGGTTTTTTCTAGGAGTTGTGCTTGACGAAAAAGAGGGGGATTTTTTGGAAGAGTGTTTGTCGCAGAAACGCCGTTTTTTTTTTTTTTTTTTTGAAGAGAACATTTTTGTACTGATGCCGTGGGTAACAGGAACTTTCTTTCGTAGGCTTTTCTTTTCCGTTCTCCGGTTTGTGACTGGGAGGTTTGAGTGGTTACTCCCCTTTCGCTTTGAGGAGGAAAACGGCTGGTAATGTTTCTTTTCATATTTCGCAGGAAGAAAAAAATTTATTTTCCGGATCGTAGGGCCTGTAAAACGGCCGATTTCTCGAGCAACGTAGATGGGATATATTTTGGTAAAAACGGGCTCTGTTCCACTACTGTCCTCGCGATGATGATCCTCCGATGAAGGACTTTTTTCATTTCCTGGGAATTGCTGCTGTGGGCATTGTCAGGGGGAAGCTCATATTTATTAAAAAGAAAAACAAGGCGGGCAGGTGGCCTCAACTGTTTCTTAGCCCAGAAAAAAGTCTATTTCGGCCGACCGTTTATTTTGCGTGCGTGAAGGGTTTTTTTGCCACCTTCTTCGGCGTGCCGAGCGTTTTATATCCGGGATCCTCCTCGTTCCTCCTACACTTGCTCTCAGGGATTGCTTCCGTGGAACCCGGGGGGTCCTGAGTTCATGTTTCACTCCAAATCTGTCTATGATTGTTGGAAACCCATGAAAGCCCACAGTGTGTGTTTGACACCTTTACGTTTTCGCTCTTAACTTATTTTTCCTTGCTGTTTTCGGAAACTAGAAGCAGTCCCTCTTGTTTTTTTTCGTCTGTATACCCGGTCGATGGATGGAAAGTTGATTTAACGAGCGTTTTCAGGTTAAAATTCAGTCGTGCGAAATGGCGCTGATTTTTAGGTTACCTCATGGGCTTCCAACAAGAAGAAAGGTTTCGAAAGGACGTACCATTTTGTCGGTGTTACCAATTTTGTTGTTTCTGTCGTACCTATTGATTTTTTTCTTTCTTTCTTTATTGGTGCGAATCGGCGTGCGAGTGGCTGCTGCATTGTCCTTCCCTGGTGTGTGCTTCTTCTGTTTTTTTTTTCTTTTCCAAATAGAATATCTTGGTGTTTTGAAACGACCATCGCGGCTGTTAAGCTTTCAATTTTTTTTTCTGAGATCGACTTACCGAGTTGAGCCGCTTGTCCTCGAAGAAGGAAAAGAACCGAGAATGTTTAGGTACCAAAAGTTGTGAAATATGATTTCCGCGGAAGGAAAAAAAGAAGAGGTTTCGTTTGATATTGTGTTTTCACTGAGCACCTGATCGATTGTTCTTATTTTTTAAAGATGTTCCTTTTTTTCCGCGCCTGGCGTTTCATTTTCTGTGAAGCTGAACCATGCGAAGCGTAGTTACCGTTTCTTTGAACGATCCTTTTTGTATTTTTCATACGGGCAAGATTGTGCGATTCTCGTAGACAAATCTGAAATGGAAACGTCTGTCTGGCTCCGATTGTCTTTTTTCTTCTTTCTCGATTTTTTGCTTGTCTCTTCTGATGGGTCGATGAAGGATAATAAAAGGTGTTGATTAAATGAGACTCTGTTTTTGTTTTCATTTTCTGTGTTTGCGAAAAAGCATTTCAGGTGTTCTATATACTTATGTGATTAAATTGACGATCCTCCATTATTCTTTCATTTAATTAAAATGGAATAATGGTTGTGGTCTTGGGAAAAGGATGATTTGGTATATAACCTGTCGAAATTCGATTTGGTTATTTCCTCGAGCGCGATGTACACTTGCTCAAAAAATATGAAGAGAAAAAAGGATTTGCGTCATAGATGTGGCGGTGGAAAATTTTAAAAAAAGTTATAACTGGAAATCACAATTGATTTCATTGAATGGGAACTTCTGGATAATTAATTTTAACAGCACTTTTTAAATGCAAACAATAGGAGATCAGTTGGATTCTGGCTCAGGTCATGTCCAAATGCAAATTTTGGTCTGTCGGATGAAAAAAGAAATGCAGATTTCAGTCACGATTCTTTTTAGAATTGAAAATGCACAAAATTACGATCTAATAATTCTGTATTATCCACCACACATGTGAAGAAAAATCTGGGTGTTCGGTATTTTACTTGAGTAAATATGTTAGTCACCCCGCTTAATTTTGAAATGCTAATATGGCAATAATCATGCAATTTGTAAAGACATTCGTGATCCAACGATCAGAATATAAAGCAAAAATGCGTGAATTTCAAAAATAAAACACTCTTGAATCCAATCCGTTCAGAGAATTTTAACTTAGCACATATAGACAGAAAACAACTCCATGCATTGATGAAACAAACGCTTGCGCCAGACTGTCTAGGAAAATGTCGGTCTGGTAATCATCTGATGTTCTCCCTCACTCTTACCGGAGTCGTGGTCACCTGATTGACCCGCGCCTCTGCTGCATCTAGCTGATTGGCTGATGGATAAGCAAATTAGTGATCTTGAATATGGAATGAACATGGACTGCCATCTAACGGCAGACTATTTGGGATGTTCCAGAGAATTCCTTTCGCGCAGAATCGATTATTCACGTTATAATTATACTGTACTTATTCCGCCACGTCATTCATTGATAAGAAAGCTGGACATGTGAAGTGCTGTTTCTACGTAAATTTGTGGTGAGAATAATTTTATCATAATGCGTTTGAACACCACCTCAAACTGGAAATACTTATTATTGTTTTTCTTTCGTCCCTATCATAAGAATACTTTCTGAACATAGTGCACCTGAAAATGTGAAACAACGTCAACAGCAATAAAAAGTGAAATTTCTTGTGTGAAAAGTGAAAACTAGCAACGTTGAAGAACGCTGAGCAGGCAGTGATACGACCGACATCTACATGATGTAACACGAAATGCTCGGGCTTTGTGTGAGAGCATCCGTTGTGTTATGCTATGCGCTGAAAGCGGACAGGGGAGGGAGAGAGCGTGGAAATGTTTCCGTGCGCCTGCAGTCGAAGCGAACTTGTCGATGCTCTCACCATTTGCGTTGTGTCAGTTTCGTAGCGTTTCGGTGTATTCGTGATTTATCAGTTTGTGAAAGATCGACTTGTATTGGTGAGAAATTTTAGGGCTGCCTGCATTGTACTGACGACCTGTGTGACCTTCGTTCGGGAGTATTCTAAGATTGAAATTATACGCTTGGGTATGACAGCGTGCAGTTCTTGTATCCTTAGCTCCAAAAACATGGTTTAGTGATTTGAGTGATCGTAGCAGGAAGCACCAGTGATCCCTTCTGTGTGTCACCATGGGGAATACAGGAAGTGCCGGAAGAGAACGCCAGAAGTCCGGAGATGCTTCCATGTCTCCGAAAGATGGACACTTCTTCGAATTCGGAACTCGCCATGGGATGCATGAAGGTGAACCCTACGTCCTTCGGCACAAACACGTGTCGGTATGTACAGTATTCAGAGTCCTCTGTCCTTTTATTCTTGTTGATGAAACCGATTTTCTTATTCAGCACGATGTGCACTACCAGCGTCCAAGGGCGTCAACGTTGTCATCAGGTCAGCATGACTTAATCCCGCAGGAGAAGAGACTTCCGACGATGTTCAAGTGGGATGGCGGCGGAAAGGAAGTCTATATTTCTGGGACGTTCACCAACTGGAAACCAATTCCTATGGTGAAAAGGTAACGTTGAAAAGTGATGCTGCAAGGATTTATTTCTTCAGCTGCCAATGTCATGTAGAGCAGAAGCTGAATTTTTTTAGCTGACATGTCGGGCACGGGAAAGAGTTGACTTGAGGGATGCCGTTACATACTCACGCTTTAGATTTGTTGTTCCTTCATTTCAGTCATGGAGATTTTGTGACTATCGTCGATCTCCCCGAAGGTCAACATCAATACAAGTTTCTTGTGGATGGTGAATGGAAGCACGACTCTCATGAGGTAAGTTCAGTCTGGAGAAGCCGTTCGTTCTTTGCATTTTATTCATCGATTCATACTTCTATAGCCCACTGCCGATAATGGCCTTGGAACCCAGAATAACACGATGAACGTCAAGAAAACAGATTTCGAGGTCTTTGAAGCCCTTGCTATCGACGGCGTTGCAACAAGTCACGGTATACCTGAATTTTGTCGCGGCTTACCCTTCTGACTTTTGTTCAATCCGGATGACATTGTATTGTTCGTAGATAATAATGGCTCGGTTGGATCACCATCTGGTAAATACGGTCAAGATATTCCGTTGCATCAGCCATGGGAAAAACCAGCATCCCCGCCAATTCTGCCTCCACACCTACTTCAAGTTATCCTGAACAAAGATACGCCGTTATCCGTGAGTCGACCGTTTAGTTTTTCGAGGATTGAGAATAAGAAGCCTCACACATCTCTAGGTGTGTCCTATTCAAATGGCTGAGTGGAGATAGTTTTTTATGTGTTGTCATTTACTTTTGTGTGTCAATGGCTGAACGAACGATCGAAATATTTCTGTAAATTCTGGAATTATTTTGAAGCCTGGCAATGCTGTTGCATGGCTTCGTTTGCGTGTCATTACCATAAAAACAGCTCCTGATATACCGTCAAGCAAGATACATAAAATTCCTGCTCTATGTTCCACCTTGGTGCCCGCTTCTAGCGGATTGGACATGTTTTTACGAAGCCAGAATCAGATATATGTGAATAATAAATTAATGTCAAGCAGTTGATAGAAGCAGACAAGTGACGAACCCAGAGATGTGTTATGAAGGTAGTGTAACATAATTTTCAACTCTCACTAACCGCTGGAGACCCGTGATTTTATGTACGCATATCCCAATAAATGATAGATTCCTAGGGATCCTGTCTTGAAAAAATTGCATTTATCCTCTCATAATGTTGAAAGAATTGCAGATTAATGAGATTTTCTATGCTTGACAGAACTTAAATTTTTTTGGTGAAGAAAAGAAAAAATCGTGATTTTTGTGCTCTTCTGTATCTTCAGTGCGAACCAACTTTACTTCCGGAGCCCAACCACGTGATGCTGAATCATCTTTACGCGTTATCTATTCGCGATGGAGTCATGGTGTTGTCGGCCACGCATCGTTATCGGAAGAAATACGTCACGACCCTCCTGTATAAACCCATCTGAGAAGAATCTGACTGTGTCTAATGCTCGATTGCATCTCTTGAATATTGCTAATGCTGTCAATTATTGATGGATATTTCTTCCTTAGCAGTTTCGAATGAGAGGGAGCGCGAGAGTTGATTTCGAACGGTGACGGTCTTCATTACTTTTGATCGTGTCAGGAGGTTGAATTTTGTATTGAGTCGAGCTTGATACTTTAGATTGCTGCTTGAATTCTCGATCAGCCGTAAGATCCTTTGCACGGAAGTAGTCACTTGTAAGGCTCCCTGTGTGATGTACGTTACCAACGTTGTAAAATTCCGGAACTTTTGCCGAGGAATTTCTCATTTCATGTGCGTTGGTGAGACTTTCTTGAGTCCTTGCCACTTGCGGAACTCGGAGCAGCTTGTGTTCTCGAGGTCAGAGACATTATCCTCTTGCAATGGAAAGCGGAAATGGATGTGGTGACGAGTTTTGAGCACCTTATCCCCGTCAATTGTTCCCTGTTCACATTTTTATTGCGTCATCCTGGCTTTATTCTGAACTGACTGTTTCCCTTCCTACAGGAGGACGGCGTGATCCCGGCCAAATAGTGTTGACTTGTGTTAGTCGCGGATTTGATTAGATGTCTTCTGTTCTTGCTTCAGTCTCATTTTCGAATCCCTTTTACGATGCAGTTTGTTATCTCGAGTTGAAAATAATCTTGAAGTAGCTGAACTGTGCAAATCTAACTGAATATCGACACGAACCGAGGTCCAGGGATTTTTCTTGTAAACTTGAATTGCGACTCTGTGAATTATTGCACTACTTTTCGATTTTAGTGTGAAAATTTTCCGCGTATTATTCTTTAGGTGAGAGACTCTCGAGCCCTTCAAATTTCCCCATAAAGCAGGTCTGTGACGCCACGTGTTTCGACACTTTTTTTTCTCGTGTGGTTTTGCTCCTGGAAAATCATCCCATGAATTCAGAAATTCGAGTAGACTCGCTTGCGGTTCAGAAGACTCGGCTGTGATTTTGAGTGAGTTTGCCGACTGCCCTTCATTTCCGATTATCAGGCGTTTCTAAATTTCTCTCTCTCCCTCGTTCACTCTCCTTATTCTTTTTGAAAATAGAAAACTTATTTATACTTCGTGCCATTTGCTAGAGCATTAAGTTTAGGAGTAACATAAATTACCCAATTATCCTATTTTTTCGAGTACCATATTCCCTCAAGTTATACATGCACTCCAATTTTTCTGCCTAAAATTTAGATGAAATCCTATCCCTGATCAGGATGTGCATCCTATTTCTAGTAAATAAAAACTACCATATATCTAAAAGAAAAACATCAAATAGAATTAGAACAGGAATCCAACCTGGATTCAATTACAGTAATTTTGAATTCTTTTGATTTCAAAACGTTCCTTACAAAAACTCTTATTACTGTCTATTCAAGTGTGATACGCACGTACACTTCTAAAATTTCTGGAAAATTTTATTCCCTCCTTTGATGCGCACCCAATAAATGATAACAATAAATGATAATCCAAACAATTTTGAGAAAAAGTATGCGTGGTACTCAAGTACATACTGTACAGTATTAGTGTATTTCAGTCGATGATGAAATCATTAGTAAGTGGGATTTTTTTGATTCAATTTCTAAGTAGAAATTGTTATAAAATTCTTTCTCTCTTGTTTTTTGTTTTCTTTTTCCTTGATTCCCCGAATTTCTCGCGAATTGCACTTGAGTACGTTGATTATCGCGTGTGACGAGAAAGAAAAAAATGCTGGGGATTTTAGTTTTCATTTTTACGCAGGGTATTTTCTGTCTAACGCTTGCTTAGGATAAGTTAGCGAGAAGATGTCGTCCGATCTGGACGGATCGATTGAAGGATACACGAGGCAAGATAGCTAGTATTAGCTAAAGCTTAACAGCGCATTCGCTCATGTCTATTCTGTTGTTACAGGAAGTGTGAGATGAATGCTGGCGAAGAGTTTCCGCACGACATCAACGTCGATATCGAAGCGCCTGAATTGGTGGAAAGAAATTCATGGTTGCGCTGGTGTCCCACGTCAATGGCTGCTCTACGCGAAGCTGAGAAGCGTATTCTGTCATATGTTAGGACGAAATTCCGTGGAAAATTCGTCGACATTGGTCCGTGTGTGAGTGAAGAAGCATGCAAGGTAAGATTTTGTGTTCAGTTTTCGAACGTACGCCAATCATTCACGCGATAAAGAACATTTAGAACCAGTTCAAGCTATATTCGTGTAAAATTGGAGCTTCGGTCGATGAACTTGATGCGTTTAAATGTGGATTTTTTCTAAATCTGGAAGGACCCATTGACTGGATAATGTAAAGGTACTGCACGATTTTCCAACAAAAGTTCTCGGAATAAAAATTAAAAATACAGCGATCGAGCTGAAAAACAATTTTTGTTCAGAAAAAGAAACATTCTTCGGCACAAGAAAAAAAATCAATCTCTGTTTTACATATTTTGTGGATAATTTACGCGAAGGTCGTCCTGGTAGCTTTCTACTTTTCACGAAGCACCTATCTCGCAGATTTTTTTCTCCGTCAGAATTCTCGAAATTGAAGTGACTCTAATTCCAAGGCTTACCTCTAGGTCTTCCAAGTTCATTCCGCCATTTTCATAAATAGCCGTCTTATTCTCATCCAAAGTGGCGGCTTTGTACCGAATAAGGGCTAATATTTTCCTGACTCTCAGCGTCATAATGTGAAGCTATATTCATCACCGTCACCGATAATTTTAAAATTGTCTTCCCGAGTTTTTGAGTAGCTATACCTTATTTTATAGATACAAAGAATGTAGATTGAAAAAAGTACTGCATTTTGAACTATAAAAAGACAAATGCGGAACGCAATCAAGAGGGGGTTTCAAAAGAGCTTATTCCTGGAGAATAATAGTGGGAGTTGAGTTTCAGGAACAACTGCAATTGAAAGAATGGAAGTCACTTTCCACGCCGTTCATAATCCGAAACAGGGTCCCTTATCTGAAGTGAAAATTGATGTTATCTCGAGTTCATTGTGCATTATGTGGCCGTCTTTTGTCTGGGAATCCATTGTATTTCTTTGTTGTACTATGTAGTGCTGTACTCTTTTCTAATTGCTATTACTGTATTTCGCAGTTTCGAATCAAAGTCACTTTATATCAGTTTGGTTTAGGTTTATTTTTCCTTATGAATTTTGACATTTTGAACTTTGAAGTACAGTACTTGAAGACGTTTTCCTTGATGAATCCTTACACATTAGACTAATATTAAATGAAGTTCCGAAGAATTTCATTTCGAATTTTTATGTTAATACAGTACTGTAATCCGTCCGGTGTTCTCATTGAAGTACTTAATGTTCGGATCTTCGGAAGATTGAGAACCTAGGATGCATTTTCATCTTTCAGCCTGTGGTAGAAAAATAAATAAATGCTGGCCAATCTGAGATAACCCATCACTTGCGTCAGTGTGGCAGAAATATTCATTCTGCTGGGTAGAACAAAGAGGGCATAAATGCATATGATTCATATTAATTAGCAACGAAAGCTACAGTGAAGGCTCACTCCAGTTAGGAGGAAAATAATTCTTGCAAATTTTATTAAAACTACCTTTTCATTTATAATTTTGAAATTTTTTATTACCTCCCACAGATAAATCAAGGATGCTTTCTTAGATTTGCATTCCTGTCAGTTCTTGCAAGACAGTTTTTCTCAACATATTGGAGAGTTGCGTATTACGCTAGATTAAATTGTTGAACGATTGGTTTGAAATATATATTATATTGTACTGTATTCATCAGCGAGGGTATCTAAACTATAATTGAGCTTGAATTTAAATTCCTTAAACATTTTCTGAGCTATCTGTGACGTTATTTTTATTTTTTTTTCAAGATTTGGACATTGTCTTTCAATGAGCGATCAAAGAAAACTCCGTTGGTGTTGGTTCACGGTTTCGCCGCAGGCGTAGCTTTATGGAGCCTGAATTTCGACGCGCTGGCTGCGAAGCGACCAGTTTTCGCCATGGATCTATTGGGCTTTGGCAGAAGCTCTCGGCCGACCTTCAGCAACGTATCCCTAGAAGCAGAAGGTCAACTTGTGAAAAGTATTGAAGACTGGCGTCGAGAGATGTACCTGGACAAGATGATCCTGCTGGGACACAGCATGGGAGGGTTTTTGGCCGCCTCCTACGCCTTGAAGTATCCGGAACGGGTTGAACATTTGATTTTGGCGGATCCCTGGGGCTTCTCGGAGAAACCTATGAATCCCGAATTGTACAGAAAGATTCCCTTCTGGGCCCGAGCGATTGCAACCCTAATTCGACCTTTCAATGCCCTGGCTGGTGTTAGAGCTGCGGGACCCTGGGGTCCGAATTTGGTGAAACGTGTGAGGCCCGACATAGCGCAAAAGTTTTTGCCTTTGGTGAGTTTTTCTTTCAACTTTGAAAATAAAAAATTGAGCTTCATTTCGACTTTCTCAAAGACACACCGCTTTTCTTCCTTATATTTTAGGTTTTTTTTTTCACGTTACATCATGAACTTGTTTGCGAATGGTAGTTGCGTACCTATTTGATTGAATGATTTCCATGTTACAATTCAAGTGTTTCGAGATGTCAGTGGCATACAAAATTGCTTTTGAGTTCTCCCGAAGTCATCTCGAGTTATGAAAATATTGTAGTCATATTAAGGACCACAACACCCTTCACTTTACGCACAACCCTTTTAAGCTAATGTATTTCCGCTACGCTTGGCTGCGCCTGGTGCGCTAGCAATTATATTTCACAATCCCGTTGTTGATGGAATACTTTCCCGACCGCGCTCATGCTTCTTTCCTTTGGAATAAACGAAGCATGATGTCCCCGATCCGAATCGGTTTCTATGCGCGTTCCTTGACCTTGGCCGGCCAAAGCTATATATACAGGTGCATTTTATGTTGCGTTAAGTTTACCGCACCAGACTCTGTCCAAACGCCAAATCTACGCCGCTTCGCTCTTGGTAGAAATATTGTTGTATCAACTGTGTGAAGATAAATAAATAAACATTTGAAATACTCTCACGGAGTAACTTTTGCGTTTCCTTTGAAAGTCGCGGAAAACAAATTAAATCTCCGATCCTCTTTTTCATTAATTATTAGAAAGTAGTTCTCAACAACTGATCATCATTGATCACCAACTTTCGTAAAATAGTTTTTGGATAACAATTTTTTCATGCCTCCAGTAGGACAAATTTTCTTCTAAATGCATCAGTAAGAGAGGGTTTTGATGCATTCGGGGTAAACTGGGCTAGTGGACTTCAAGGATTTGAACATATTTCGCCCGGACTCCATCAAAATGTTTTCCAAGTCTTGCTACCCTGCTGAACGGACAGGTGGTGGGATGGACAGTTTCTTGA